AAATAGGACTTCAAGCCTTAGGAAAACATTCGTCATAACTTTTTCGTCACATACACACACCGAATACACAAAGTTCACAAAATTGCACGAAATCGGACTTCAATTAAGCCCAAAGGATGGGTGAAAATGCGAACTTGTCCGGATGACCTCCGACGACAAATTGGACTGCGCCACCGCGTCCGGGATACCAATTTTAGTAGGAAAGGACACCCATATTGCCATATTTTCGACACGAGAAAATTGACATGCAAAATGATGAATTTGTCAAAACGACTTCCGACGGCGAAACGGACAGCGCCGGAACGTCCGGAATGTCGAAATTACCTAAAAGGGGTGTCCAATTTGCAATTATTTCACACAATAAATTGTGCAAATCAAATTTTTTTTATATATACTTTAAAAAATTAAGTATTTGTATCTTTATTCTTTTTAATTATATAATATTTATAAAACCCTAAATACAAAAAATTATATAATATTTATAAAATCCTAATACATATTTCCCATTCTCCTGGCACGATTAATTTCCCCATGTTGCGCTCGGCTCGATCCCCCGACCGCTCCTCGCCGCTCGTGCCCTAGCTCCCGCGACCGCTCCTCGCCCGTGCCCTAGCTCCCGCATCTCCTCTGCCATTCGCGCATGAGACGACTCGCCTCCTTCTCACACGCGACATTCCACTGTCGATTCGCATACGCTCGCAGCCTCCTCGAGTTCCTCTCAACTGAGCAGCCCTCCAACGATGGAACTCCACCTGGCCGGCCCTTTCTCTGCCCCAGGTTGCATTTCCTCTTGCCTTAAATCTTTCTCCTCCTCTCCCCTCACTTGATTTGCTGGCTAGGGTGGCTGGTGGGTGGCTGCTCTTCTCCTTTCTTTGCTTATAAAGTCCCATTTGGGGAAAAAATTAAGGCTGGCCAAATTAAGGCTGGCCGAAAAATTTAAGGCTGGCCGAAATTTGGAGAGTGGGGGAGATCCTGCCAAAATCTTTTCTAACTTACATTTTTCTTCTCATCTTTTGTGGCTTGGGAGTTGTTAAAAAAAATTTTGAGGAAAAATTTTGAGGAAGAAAAAAAAAAGATCTTGAGGAAGAAGAGTATTGCCGGAATCCTCTTTAAGCTAGAAATTTCAAAAGCTTGTGACGTGGAGCATTTGTAGTGGTCTTTTCTTTAGCCATTCTTATAGTTTTATTTCAAATCTGCTGAAAGA